ATAAGTAAAGAACTTGGATCCAGTTGATAATTGTATATTTTAAGAAGTATCGATTAGTTAAAGCGTTATTATTGATTGTGCAACTTATACGTTGTAATCGTGTGTGATATATTTATTCATGTAACTTATTTTGTTTATGAGTAGTAGTTCATAATATAAAAATTCATAATTCATCGCAGCAAGTAAGCAACCAGTTTAATCTCACCTCTACTTTATTCATCGCATCCACACTTTGTTTCATTACTTGTTGTTTTATGAGTGCGTTTCAAAAGCGCAACTTCGACGAGCAAACGACTCACAGCGCTCTGTCAATAAAACCACTTTCACTTGCAAAACTTGTGCTGCTTTTTTTCTAATTTCTTTTCCTGCTGATTATTTTTATTATTAGATATTAATAGTAATAATAATGCTAGTCATAATAGCGTTATTATTATTTATTGTTTCAGTATATTACTTGAAATAAGCCATGAATTGGTTGTATGATATTACTTGAATGTAAATTTCAAATGATAATCACAATAAATTGTCTGTATTCAGTTGCTGGAGTGATGAACTGTAAGATGTTTGTTATGATGAACGTGTAATGCTCGCAGTCGTAATCAGTTGGTTGTCTAGAGCTGGGTGATTTGATAAGGAGTAAATAATGTGATGATGTTGAATTAATGTTGCAGACGATCGCTGTTTATCATCATCATCATCCACATAAGATAAGACTGTAATCATGTTCGAGTATGATCGTCTTGCACTTGATGTTGCTGAACAAGTGGCACGCATCCGTTCATCTCTGAATCAGACCTCACCGCGCCAAATACATCACATTGTATTTCTTTATTCTCATTGTTTTTTGACTATCGAAAGTTTCATTTGAATACCTTAAGCAACACCTCAGGTGTTCAATTTCCGTTCAAAGAATATATTTACATTGCTCAACTAGTAACAGTTTTTCGTACCGTATAATCTCGGATACATACTTCGCCTCAGTTCCATAACCGCCATCAAATGTCCCTCAATTTATTTCCTGTCTTTGAATTTTCTCCGACTTTTACCGATCCCCAAACTGTATGCTCCCCTTTTAGTTCAGTCTCCACTCTCGAATATTTGTCCTTCTCGCGAGGCCCTCAGTTCAATATCCATCTGAGAATCACGTTTGATTTACTATCCGTATTGGAATGAATTACCTGGATTCATGGAATTTCTCATCACAATATTTTACGAAAGTTATCAGCTGATGAGATACTGGAGAAACTACCCACTTTGAAGTAATAAAAATGCCAAATACTCCCCCATTAATGGTTTATGGAAGAAACAAGTGTGAAAAATAAATCTCCGTCCCTGGCAGCAACCAAGTGACACACTATCGTAGATATGTGTTTGAAGTTATATGGTATGCATATAAGATACTAGTTAATTGGTGATTCTGTCATAAGAATGGCAGCATATTGTTGTTGTGTGAGTGAAGAGATTGAGTGATAATTGTGTGAACTTAAGGAGAGTGTGAATGGGATGTCGGCGTCGTGTGACGGTTTCGATTGCGGTTCGAGTTCAGGATACTGCAGTCCTGGATCGATCGTGAACACACCGCTGTCGAGTCCTTTGCCCAACAATGTGTTGTTGCTGCAGACTGTGTTCAGAGACGACAAGCAGCACTCTTGTGAGCATCACCTTTCGGATCGATACATTAACGCATCATTCATCAATATCCATTCCAATCACTTCAATTGCAATAACAACATTATTGGTGATCACAACCACAAACAAATTGTCACTGAGAAGGTTATTTCTCATTCATTCGTTCCAGTGAAATAATTCGATTAAATTTTCATTGATTATTCATCTCGATCAACAATCGTTCAGTATCCTCTTGAACACTACAAATTAAAATCGCTCTGTTTCTTCGCAACTAGCCACATCAGTGCACCAATTCAACGAAACCCAGCATGATCAGTATTCGTTCGCAATGTCGTCTATATAACGATTATGCACGTACTCATGTCATCAGTGCTACATTGATATTCGATGGTGTGCACATCGATACTTTTACTAAATAATACAGGATGATTTAGTGAAGTGGAATTTCAACAGTACGACACGTCGTTTTGTGATAACTCATGAATTGTCACAAAATGAGTCATTTGTCATAAATCATCTTTCGTGTTGTGTTCACCAGTCAGTCTCACTTGAGAATGTAGTAATATAAATCTACAGCAGTCAGCACGACGATCACTGAACTCGGAGAACGATGAGAACAGCACACCGTCACAACAAGCTGCAGTTGCGCATGAAGATGGATTCTCAAACGACGAGATTGCACAGTTCACTCAATTGCTGTGCTCACCCAAGAAGGCACCTCCGTCCAAATATCAGTGCCATATTTGTTATCGAACTGGGCATTACATTTCTGATTGTCCAATGGTAATGTTATTGTTTTTCTTTCGTTCTTATTGCCATTCTAATAGAAAGGTAAATACGTACTAATTATTGATTTAATTAAGCGTTTCAATAGTCCATATGAAGAGTTAACGCCCTATCAAGGACGCAAGAAGTGTTACGGTGAATTTCAATGTCAGCAATGCAAACGAAAGTGGACAAGTCAAAATTCGGTGGCAAACGAGGCTCAGAGTTGTATCAAGTGTCATATCGCTGTTTTTCCACACAAACAGGTCTGTGTTCATATCACTGTTTCGTTCCTTTGTCCTCATAATTATTACTGTTATAATAACCGGTCAACATTTAGTTACCAGTCGATAAAGCTATTGCAATGGGTCTCATCAAAGCACAACGTGTTGTGCCCTCTAAATTGGCACCTATTGGGCACGGTCGTCCACCGTTCAATTCCACTTCAAATCAGCAGTCTTAATAATAAGTATTCAATACTATTATTATCATTAATACTATCACGAGGTGATTTTATGTACATTGAATACTTTTTACTGAACAGTTCATTGCAAAGCAAACCGTGAATTGTGGTTTGTAATGAGTCAGATCGATGCATTTTTTACAAATTTGCTGATTCATTCTATTCGTTTTCATCATTGATCAATTCTAGCATTGATATTATCTGTGTGTAATCATAACGATAGCGCTGTGTCAACTGCTTCAACATGACCATTAGTAATGGTAAGGGTGTGCAGATGAACTCATAGTGAATATCAGCTGAAAGAGCAATCGTCTCTTTTTATGAATATATTTTTCAAATATGAGAGCTGTTATAGCCATGTATGTATTGTACGTATTTGTATTTGTAATTGTATTTGTGTGTATATATATACGGTTGATGAGTAAGTATTATACTTCTATCCTATTCATTGCTTGTCGCAGTGGGCAGAGGTTGGTGGTTTGATTGGGTGTGATCTTAATTGTGATTTTGGTTTAGTGATGATGATGATGATGACGATTAGTTTCGTTGTTTGAATATCACACAAGTGTGCTGTTTTTTACCGCTTTTTGTATATTTGGTTCATCTTCATCATGCACAAGTTTAGACTTTTAGAGCTTTTGTATATTCAGTGAAGATATTATTTATGTGGCTATTGTCTATACATAACATGTAGATATTGTCTAGAGTATTTGTATAATGTAATTGCATGGTGTGGTGTCGATTTAACAAGACACATTTCTTGTACTATGGGTCAATCATGAATTCATTACTTCATCTATCTTTTAATCCGGTGTTCATCAACAGATCGATACGCGTATAGTTTACATTTGTTGTTTCGTTGGATTGGATTGAATCGGTTGTTTTATTACCACTAATAAAGT